TGCAAATTTTAAGTTTATCAAATTCGAATGTACAATCTTTTTTCACGTGTGAATTAAATTTATCGTGCAGAACATTAGCGAGTAAATCAGTAGTTCTAGACCATTGCTCATTTGTAAGAGCTATAGAATACCAAATATGAATAACGACATCGATGGCATCCTTACCGAGCTTTGCGAGGAGGTACAACATTATAAAATTTCGAATTGTAACTCTTTTAGCAAAATCGTTAATAAAAATATTAATTTGTTGATTTAAATCTAATGGTATTCCATTCACGGTTGCAATGATATCATTAAGATCACCGCTTGCTGCAAAAAGCAAATTAATAGGATCCTTGTAATTAGAGCTTGATTCGTTGTCCTTAAGTTCATTTAAAGATAATTTCAAGATATCAATAGCTGGCATATTACTCCATAAATATTCTACAGGAATACCATAAAAAGGAATGGAAGAGATGCTTGGTAGTATAAATTCTGGTATTCTTAATTCATGAATGTAATCTGGTTTCCAATCTTTTGATGAAATGTCAGATTTACATAATTTTTTATGAAATTTCCAATGCTTTTTTTGACATTCTTTACTACAATAAAAGACAAGTCTGCAGTTACTACAAAGGTTGTTACCAATGTTATTACAAACAAATCGATTAGGAACACAAGTATTTGCACAAGTCACTTGTTTTAATTGTTTGCCATCAATTCCTGATCCAATTTCGATTGTGTCAAAATAACTTGAACGACGTTTAAGGATATGTTCAGGTTGATGTTGCTTTATGAATGAAAATGATTGTGCTATGATAGCGTTCATATGGGATTCTAACATTTGATACTTCGTTTCATAATCATCTTGAGTATCTTGTAATTCGGATAATAAGCCTCCAAAAATTTGATTAAATTTATCTAAATATTCTTCAAATTTTGCCTCTTTTATGTCACGCGGTAAAGTTCCAAGTCTTTCAAGGCACTCGTAAAATTTTTCTCTTTCTGATGTGGCTGACAATTCTTCAAGTAGTT